AACGCTCAAGCAGCACACACAGCCTGGGAATGAGAGGGTGGCGTGCACCGATCTGCCCATCGTGGATCTGACCAAGTGGTACATGCAGGAGTAGCAAGCCGTGACGAAAACAAGCCTCACAACATCTGCTTGGTTGCTCATACACAAGTGTTAACGAGTTCTGTTAGTTCATTAGTGACACTGACAGAAGAAGAGTGGTGGATGTCACTTGAAACGTCCGGAAATTATCTCCGCAATTTATCTATTAACTTTTTTTTTAAATTCAGAAACAAAATGATGATTTCAAATGAAAAGACATGGACTAAGTGACTGCGAACTCAAGTTAGGTACAACTTATATTCTCGCAGCCACTTTTACAATGAAAGAAAAATATTTTACAAGACATTAAAAATACATGAGACCTCGCGTGAGTAACAAACCTCCTATCCCAGAAGACACATACAGTTAGCATCTTTTTGTTTCTAATATATAATTTTGAGCGGCTAACATTATTTTACAGTTGGTATCATACGAACAAAGGAAACTACCGCGAAGAACTAAATATTGTATAGAATTATCAGAAAGGGTGTTTAAATCAACAATATTACCAAGTATACTTGAAAGCTTGCCAAAAAGGAGCAAGCGTTGGTAGGTGTATATAGGGCAGTGCAATAGATAATGAGCAATCGTTTAGTATGGACACCCGCAGCTACAGGATGGACTTGTAACAAGATTAACTTTCATCAATGCATCTGCTTGGTTATTAGTACGTGTCTTGCAAATACTGTAGCTAGTAGCAAGTTAAATTTTTCAACAATGAAATATCGTAGAGCCAATAGACTGATAGCTAAGAGAATTACTCTCCCAGCAGAGGTTTGGATAATATAAAAATGTACCAGTGCAAAAAGGAAAGCCTGATTTAAAAAAAACGCCAAAACTAGGCCAAAACCCAAACCTCTGCGTGGAGAGTATAAGAGAATATTATAGACAACTTGCAGACGTTTCTTCATAGAAAGCTGTTTTGACTCTATGTGTAACCCGTCTAGGCCAAAGATTTATACTTAGTATATCCTGATTACCAACATAGCACTCGAATAACACAATGTATCCGCTTGTTGATCTTTTAATTAAGATTGTCAGGAAATTGCATGTGGTAAATATCTAATACTATATAAAATGCAGGGATGCTCAGCATTTATGAAACTAAAGGCATAATCCAAGTGGGAGAAAGATCAGAAGCAACCAAGACTGCCATAAAAAAAGCTTTTTTACACCAACAAGGTACAATATACTCAAGATAAATAGTCACTAGCTTTACTCACACGATTGTTGATTGAATGTTGGAAGGTTCAGTGGACTTATATTGATATCTTAACTGATAATGGAACACAGTGGCTGTGAATCATTGATAGAAGGCAAGTCTTATTTTAAGAATTATGTACTTTTTTGCCATTTACACGGTCGGAAATTTTACTACGTGCATTCTCTGTATAAGTATATACATTATTAATTCAATTAAATATGTCAATTGTACCTAATTTATTCACTTCCTTCTAATCAAAACTTC